TAAAATTATGACAAAGTATGCATAAACATAAATACTAGGACTTTCAGGATGCAAAAACAGCTTTTTACACAAGAAGTTAGTTTTTAAATGTACAGAATTAAATTGAGATGCTTAACTGTTTTAACTTGTTTTTATATGTAAATTCTGCTGGACTACATGAAAAATTTACTTTTTTTCCCTCCTAATTTGGGATTGTGGCATTTTATCATGAAAATCATCTGTTAGTGATTAGTGATTAAGTTCTGTCCTTTTGTGGAGAGAATTATTGGGACTCGAAATCATAAAATACAGTAAATATACTTCCCAAATCAACAAGAAACAGCTCAGTGATCTTTTCAGGAGTCCTAAAAGCAGAAAACAGTCGAGAAATGGAAAATGCAGCCTAAGGAGAAATCTTGTCCTTAGTGCAATCCTTCCAGCAAGAGCTGTTATTGGCTGGAGGAAGCAGCATGAACTGGAAGCTTGGAAGCTTGGAAGCTTCCAGCTCTTCTGTTACCATTAGCTCACTTCTCGGCTCAGGAGGATGGACCACAGAAAGCTGGCATTACTATACATTTTGCCTACTTTTCTCCCTTCCCCTTTTCTGAAGTGGTACTGTGTTTCTATGAGAAGGTCTCTGTGTGTACAATTGTTATTCTCTATAAAGCTTGTTGGTCCCCATTCTGTGTAGGACTGGTAAAATTCAAATATATTCATCCATTTGACATACTGCTTTGATGAGCATACTTTTAAAAAAATAAAAACAAAAATAATGAATCTTGGGACCATTTTTTATAGTATGAAATAGAAAACGTATATATATATATATCTTATATGAACAAAATTTTATGCATATACACTTTAGATAAACAAAAAAAATTATATGTATGTATATTTACTTTTAGGATGCACATTTGATTCTATGAATTCTCAGAATTTAAGATGCACTCTAACCTAAAAATCAATTCACTTTAGCATTTAAAAAGAGCTCATATTTACAAAAGCACTTGCAACAGCATGTCAAGATTAACAGCATGATTTCATCTTCATTGACAATTTTCTTAATCATATACTCTCACACATAGATATAATAAAAGCTTTGGAAATGTGTGTCCTAGATAATGAATCAGAAAGAAATGATAAAATGTTGAGTTGCTATTCTTAAGGGACAAAATGTGTGCTAAATAACTGCATTTAATATAAAATATTATAAATATAAATTGTACAGAAATAGTTATACTTCCATCTATTTACTACAAATTCTGTGAAATATATATACATATGATATATATATATAATATATAAATGTATATATTTAATTTTATGGTGAATCAGCCATTAGATATTTGTAAAATATTACCATTTTATATATGAAATGGAGTTTCAGTAAGGTGAAGTCATTTGCTGGCAGACTTCAGATTCTAAACCACATATTGGTATCAGGCTACCACACGGTACTACCTCCTGAAAGAAAACCAGACAAACAAGACAACTGTGAAACAAAATGGCCAGAGATGGTATCCAAGGAAAACAAAACATGGGCTTTCAGAATTGAGTAAAATTTGATCAAAGTTGAATAAGGGGAAATAAATGACTGGGTGAGCCAGACTGATGGTTATGAATGAACATGGCTTACAAAGGGAGGAGACAAAGGGTATAGAATGGGACAAAAGGTGAACCGATTCAGCAATGAAACCCACTAGACACTATGTTGGAAATGAACTATACAGCTTTGAGGGGTGGGAAGTTGGAGGGGAAAAACTGAGAGAGAATGTAGGAGGAGGTGACACTGTTCAAAAGGAACTGTAGTCATTACCTGACTCGTGTAACTATAACCTTCTGTACATCACCTTTACAATAAAATTTTAAAATGAAAAAAAGGATTATGAAGACTGTGAAGACAACTAATGAGAGAGGGCCCTGAGTGTCAGACGAAGGAGTATGGATGACATGGTCAGCTACAGAGGAGTAGTGTGGGAGCCATAGATTGTAGAAAATTGATGACTGGGAAGATTATCTTGCTGGGATTCAGAGTATTGCACAGAAGGCAAGTTCCTGAAACTTTCTTATATCTTTGTGTTGCTATAACAATATACTTTGCAATGGGTAATTCATAAAGAACAGATATGTATGTCTTGTATTTCTAGAGTCTGGAAGTCTAAGACGAAGGTCATTGCCTTTATGACAGTCAGGATGATTGGAAATCCAAGTCTCCAAACCTATAGAATAGACAAAGAGAGCGAGAGAAATGTTAAGTATCTTGACCTGATAGAGATATATCTAATTTCAGAAACAACAGTCTCATCTCATCTCTGATAATTCTGCTAACTTTATTGTGTATTATTGTGAAGCATACTGGCTTCTTTTCATGAGCTAGAATTTGTCAGCCCAGAGACTTGCTGAAACCCACAACATCCAGCATTTAGAAAAGATTGATTCCTTTTTACATCTTAAACAATACCAAAGAAAGAGACTACTGGTTTGAGTTCCCTTTCCTTAGCTGATGTGGCTGCATGGAAGAGATGTGTGTGAACAGGATAGTTCTCATGCGATTTAGGACTGCAGTAAGAAGCGAATTATTTCCTACACATCTCCTCTCTGTTCCTCCTGTTTCTTCATTCCATCTCTTTACCTCTACCTCAATATGCTGTCACTTCCAGAGATTCAGCTACCAAGTTCGTTCATGGTAGGCCCTTCAAACCACATCAGCAAGTCAAGCTTTGATTTGATCTTTGATTTTTTTTTTTTCCTTCAGAGTAGATGGTTGATGGGATGAAGATTCCATTCCCTTGCTGTTTGGTTCACTATTGTAACTGTCATGCTGAGTGATCCCCTTCCTATTAGGGTTAGCATAAGACAGGAGTAGGGGGCAAATACATCTGTCTTACATCTTCATGGGAGCATATGAGCAGGACCATAGAGACTCACCTAAACTGCTAGTTCTGTCTGAAATCTCATAGGCAGCAGTACCACTTTATGAGCCAGCTACCCTCTGGATGCCCTTTGTCAGAGAGAGTTTATGGGCTTTTATGTGAACTGCAACTTGGTCTTTAGGCTGTTTATTTAAAGTAAGGTGCCAGGAACAAGAATAGGCAAGAAGAAAAATGATAGGGATTAAAAATTCCACCTTATTAGCATATCTTCCCATTACCGCTCCCCCTTTGTTTTAAATTTTAACTTACTGAGTTGTACATTGTTTTTGGAGAGCTATGTTCCTCTTTTCCACTCATGTTTCAACAAGCAAAGAGCATGTTAAATCTATAGAAGAATGGGTGTAGGAAAATTGCTTAAAAGAGCTGTGTTAAACAAAAAAGAGTACTGTTTTTCCTGCATGGAACTTAGCATATGTGAATAAGATAATTCTCTCTTACTGCACAAATTAAAATCTAGAGGAAGATGTATAGTTAGCTATAAATAAGTTAATTAATAATCACTAAAGAAAATGTGTATTTTATAAGTCTGTGTCATAATCACAGGGACAATCATGATCAAGATATAAATATATAGATTTGAAAATCATTTACAATTGAAAATTGAGTGCAAGATGCTATCATAAATGAACATAAGCCAGACATCGTGAAATAGCAGACACCTATTATTTCGCAGTGCTGGAGAGTAGAGATCTGAGGTCAAGGTAAGGCCAGGTCCCCTCTGAAAGCTCTAGAGAAGAACAGATCCTCATAGCTATTGGTACTTTTTTTTTGGCTTGGGTCATCCTGATTTTAACTTACTTCAGTTGTGTGTGTGTGTGTGTGTGTGTCCAAATCTCCTTTACCTTTCTCTTAAAGACAGCTGTCACTGAACTCAGAATCCACCTTTATCTGGTATGATGTCATCATAACTCATTACACCTGCAAATAAGGTCATAGTCTCGATTTCAAGTGGGCATAGCACAAAAAAGGTACAAATGAGCTTGTTTGTTCTTTCTCTTGCATGCTGTTGTTAAGGTAATTGGCCATTTGAAGCCTGAAAAAGTGTAGGAATTCTTGTTTGCTCAATGTTCCATGGGAAGAAAATAGAAAAGCTATGGAGAATAAGAAATTAGGTGGTAGGAGAATGTACCTTGAAACACTTTATCTAACTATGCAATCTAAAGTAGAGCAAGCAGTTTCAAGTTGATTGCCTTTAGGGGTTAAAGGCAATTGTGTTGCTAAGCACTTGGAGATCTATTATTCAAGGGTTCCAGTAACTCATGGCCATAGAAGCGGTCCAGCAAGGCTACACACAGGCTTCCATTTCATGTTGACGTTGGGAGGTTGGAGGGTATGCTCAACGCATTGTGATGAAATAGACAGATGTTAGGAAGGACACTTACAGAGAGACAATGAGAAAGAGGAAGATAACTTGATCATGCTCACAGTATTGCTTATTGGATAATAATTGGTCTTCCCTTTCCCCCTTCCAGTTCCATTAGTATCACTGAGGCACATCACTGACAATATTTTCCCACTTGAAATTCTATTTAAAATAGAAATCATAATAATAACATTTATAATAATAACATTTATGAGAATGGGATGCTTACCACTAAAATGAGAATATCCATCTCCCAGCCCTATTTCCTGCTCAGCCCATGCACACACAAAGATGAATGAGACATCCTCTATCACCTTCAGTTGAGGTGAAGAGAAAGACTGAGCACATTGTACCTGTAGCCTTGACCTTTTTGTTAATGTGGCATAATAAGTAAGAAGGAGGTGGAAAAATCATAAGATGAGGCCTGGGAGAGGAGGAAACAAGTTTTCAAGCAGCTGCTCTGCAGAATGGGTAAGAGCCACAAAGGCGAGCTGAAAACAAAGAAGACTGGTAATGTCCTGCAAGTCTGGGAGTAAATAGTTATCTGTGTGGTTCCATTATGTCCCTCACCACCACCGCCTACCATCTTGAATGACATATTCTTTTCATAATTGAGAAGAAAAGCCCTTTGAAGATTACATCATCCCGGGTACTAATTTTGTGCTCATTGTTGGACACTGTAGGATGTCCTCCTTTGTCATCTTCCCTCTCCTGTGTTTCTGCAGGTTGAGCCGGTGATACAGAGAGGCCATGAGAGCATGGTCCACCACATCCTGCTCTACCAGTGCAGCAGCAGCTTTAATGACAGTGTTCTGGACTATGGCCACGAATGCTACCACCCAAACATGCCCGATGCCTTCCTCACCTGCGAGACAGTGATTTTTGCCTGGGCCATTGGTGGAGAGGTGGGGCTACTGACAAACGGAGATGTAGAGCAATTAACTGAACATCTGATTTCCCCACAAATATGGCGTTGATATGTCTACGTAAAGCTCTTATGTATTTTTTAATATGAATGTAGTATGTTTCTCTTTTTATTGGGAAGGATTCTTTCCTTAAGTGATGACATTTGACTGGTCATTGACTGATGGCATCCTAGAAGGTTGAGATATTGAATACTGAGTATTGGAAGTGGAATGTGTTGGGGAATGGAGTAGATCTTTTAAGGATTTTCACAGGATATTGTCTCACAGAATTTTCCATATTTAGGGTTTCTCTTATCCACCTCATGTGGGATTATCCCTGGGCACTCCATTAGATCCCCAGTATGTGCTTCTGGAAGTCCATTATGATAACCCGACACACAAGAAAGGTGAGTTCATTCTCTACACATTTCACTTGTGAGCTTGAAAAGCTTATGTCACTTGTTTGTAAGAGTTGAAACAACATAGCAACCAATAGGAGAAAGAGTTAGCCTTGACATCTGTTATCTTTGTACATTTGTTATCTTTTTTTTTTTTTTTTTAGAACAAAACAGAGTGCTATTCAGAATTTCACTGAGGCAATAATGGGCTTTAACCAGACAAATGGGAACAGGGTCTCTCATCCTAAAAATCACTTCCATGCTATCAGAAAGTGGCATAAACAGAAGTGTTTCCTTGTGGTTATGCATTTTCCCCAAGTACATAGTACTTATCAAACAGTTTCTTTCTAATTGCAAATTGGAAAAAGCTACCTATCACTTGTCATACTAGAAGGTGTATTAAGAGACCCATAATCCCAGCTATTTAGGAGACAGAATGGGCAGAAAGTGGCTTACAGGAAGCCTAGGCGAAAAAGTTTGCTCAACCCATTTCACCAAACCAGCTGAGTATGATGTGTACATCTGTGATCCCATTTCACCAAACCAGCTGAGTATGATGTGTACATCTGTGATCCCAACGACATGAGAGATGTAGGTAGTATTACAGTCTGAGGACAGTCTTGGGCAAAAAAGCTGGAAAAAAAACTAAATTAAAACAGGGCTGAGGTCATTACAGCTCAAATGCTAAAACGTCTGCCTAGCAAGTAAGTGCAAGACCCTGAGTTCAAACCCAAGCACTACCCCAAACAGGCAAGCAAACAAACAAATAAAAACTATTAAGCATTTTGTTATGTAATAAATAATCCATAAATATGTCTGTGTAATATGATTTTGATTTGAAGAGCAGGTATAAGACTATGCATTTGATTTCTGAGTTTACTTATGTAATATTCCCCAACAAAACCCAACTCCTCAATGGAAGGAATTCCAAGTAACCATTATCCTTGGATTTATGTAATTATTCTGCAAATACTGAGCACTAGAACACTGGGTGCCACTCCTAACCTTGAGGATTTAAGATAGGTGAAAGACAGATTGTACAATCTGTCTTTGGCACTGGAAATCAGTCCAGTGAGAAAGAGAAACAGTCAAAGAAGCCTTTCAATAACATAAAATTAGCACATAAAATGATACTCAAATATTAAATTACTATATATTATATGATTTTCAACTGTCATAAGAAGGATGTACTTGATATTATGGGAGTATTTCATTGGTGATCTGTCATATCCTGGGATGTGTGGTGGGTAGTTTAAAGAATCTTCCCTGAAAAAGCAAACTTTTCAAGGCTGTAAATATAAACTCAGGTTTTATTACTCCTAGAAGTCAATGAATTGCACACTTAGTGGAAGAGATTTATAAAGTGTTTGGGTCTATATCCTTCCTTCTTAAAACTATGTCATAACCAGAAGTCTGTCTTATTTTAGATCCCCACAATGCTAATATACTACTGGTTGTATCATAGATTGTTAATATTGATTTGTTCATCATATCACTATTTGTTGAATGGATAAAAGAATAGTGACTAGGAAGAAATTTAACCTTTGGCAGTTTTCTCTATCAGTCGATGGTTTCTACATGGAAGGATTTGTATCGCTAAGAAAGGTTATTGAACTTCTTCTAAAAACAATATAGCATAAAATTGGATGGGGGTTATTTATCGTCTAATGAATACCTTAGAATTCTCATTCATTCTTCATGTTAGATAGCTGTGAAATATACTGGCTAGAAGACCAAAGTCGTCTCCCAGAGCATGTCACATGTGTCTATAATGGTTGCTGACAATGTGAGGATTCATTTTTCACTTCAGTGAACAAAGTGGATTATTTTATTCCAATAATATCTGTTTGTCTTACTCTCCCACCCCCACCTCCCTGGCCCGGTCATGGGGCCTGAACTCTGGGCCTGGGCGCTGTCCTTCAGCTCTTCAGCTCAAGGCTAGGGTTCTACCACTTGAGCCACAGTGCCACTTCTGTTTATGTGGTGCTGAGGAATTGAACCCAGGGCCTCATGCATGCGAGGCAAGCACTCTACTACTGAGCCACCTTCCCAGCCCCTTTTGTCTTTCCTTTTTGGTGAGCTTTCAAGGAATATGAATAAGTCTAATGAATGTGAGAGGTATTCTTTTTTTCCCTAAGAATTCAAATGCACTCATGTGTTTCTGTTCTAGGCTTAATAGATAGCTCTGGGCTGAGGTTATTTCATACGATGGACACAAGGAAGTACGATGCTGGGGTGATCGAGGCTGGGCTCTGGGTGAGCCTCTTCCATACCATCCCTCCAGGGCTGCCTGAGTTCCGCTCCGAAGGTCACTGCACCCTGGAATGTCTAGAGGAGGTTAGTAATAGGTGGTTGTTGGGAGTTACTATGAGTTAGCCCATGATTTCAGAAACTAGTATGAAAATCTGTTCTCTTCTTATTGACACTGTTAAAGCTAGCAGTGTTATTTCATCAGGACGTGGCTGAAATTTTAAAGCATGAACACTATAGGCGTAGAATTCCAGAAAGAAAAACTTGTAGGGTGCTTTTCTTCCTTTTCTATCTCCTTCCTTTTTCTTTTTTCTTATGGGTCAGCTGTGGGGCGTGAGTTTAGAGCTGGGCACTGTCCCTGAGCCTCTTTGTGCTCAAGGCTAGCCCTCTACCACTTGAGCCACAGCACCACCTTCGGTTTTTGATTGATTCATTGGAGATAAGAGTCTCATGGGGACTTTTCTGCCTGGGCAAGCTTCAAACCGCCATACTCAGATCTCAGCCTTCTGAGTAGCTAGGATTACAGGTGTGAGCCACCCGCACCTGGCTTCCTTTCTTTTATATTGGACACGTTAGTCTATTACATTTTTCTACCTGTGTTCAGTTTCTTTTCATTTACTTTACCTTTATTTGTATTTATGTTCCCCAGTCTTCATTTTTTTCTCTGCTTTAAAATTTTCTTCTTTTTACTAATTGAGTATAAGTAAGTAACTAATGTAAAATACATCTTGTGTATGAGAAAGCCAAGTATAGACACTTAATAATGACAGTTTCCATTGATAGTTTCTCCTTTGAATCAAAGTATTTCAAAATGGATCATATACTTTTGGGAAATATAAGATAGTGGTTGTAGACAGGTGAAGTAGCTGAGAGTCTTCTGAGTGATGTAGACTATGATTTTAATTGCCATGACAACATGTAGGAGCCATAGGTAATTCATTCTAGCTGGAAAAACAGGGGAAATTCTCCTATCTAGACTACTTTTCAGGTTGCTGACAGGCTAGAATCTTTTGCTAGTTTTGATGACTGCCTTTTACCTCCTAAAAGAGGACAAAGGGAAGACACATTTAGGCGTGATCTGGTAGGCTTCCTTTCTTGAGTCCTGGCAGATGTTGCTTCCCAAAGTAAACATTAAGCAATCCCAATTCAACAGGCTTGGCAGATCAACTGCTCACTTAAATCACTTTAGCTTCTTCTCAGTCGTTCCTCCCAGTGTGTTTGAACATGAACTGTCTGGACAGGCACTTGTTTGGGCTGATTGGCTCTTCTTTGTGTTCCCTGAGGCTCTGGAAGCTGAGAAGCCGAGCGGGATCCATGTGTTTGCGGTTCTCCTCCACGCGCACCTGGCTGGCAGAGGCATCATGCTGCGTCATTTTCGCAAGGGGCAGGAAATGAAATTACTGGCGTATGATGATGACTTTGACTTCAATTTCCAGGAGTTTCAGTATCTAAAGGAAGAGCAAACGATCTTACCTGTACGTATGTGCTTGTTCTCTTTCACTGAAAAATGTTATAACAGTCATGAGCCAAATCTGCCAAGATATGGTAAAGTTTCTAACAGTGGCGTAAATATCTTACCATGTCCATATTCTTACAGCCACGGCAGGTGTTGCACAACTCAGATGGAATGTGTTTCATCTTCTTCCCAACACTGAAACTTACCTTTCTTATTATTGCCAAGGGCAATACAAGTTTTCTTAAAAAAAAAAAAAGAATAAGTAAAATGAAACCAATTTTAGGTTCTAATCTCTAACATATGCTACTGTTCTTTATTTCTCTCAATTTAAAGAAAGTTTCAATAGTGAATGATTCTTTGGCTTAGGATTTTAATAAGATAAAATCAGAGATTTCTTTCTGTCCCCTTGACAAGAGGACAAATTTTAGCTGTTTCATTTTAGTAAAAAAGAATTTAAGAATAATTCTTTCATCAGATGGTTGAAAGTATTTATCTGCATATATGCACACAGAATGATGAATCCTGTTGAATCTGGTTTAAGAAAAGGAAGGTAAAGGGAATAAGAGTGAGTGAATTTGTTTGGGATGCGTTCTGTGCATGAATGGAAATGTCACAATGAAACCTTTCTTGGACAACTAGTCTATGCTAATAAAAAGTCATAGAAAAAGAAGATACTTGAACGTATTTAATTTCATTCTTCAGCAGTCTACAATACATGGGGTTTTTGCATAAGAAGAGGGTCTTATCTTTTACAGTAATGAAGACATTTTTTTTTCTCATCAATTTTTTACTTCTTTTTTTTCCCCAACATTTTATCAAACTCAATAGTCACAGAATTTCCTGCCTCTAATCAACTCTTTTAAAGTTACATTCTTAAACAGGATATGAAACTGCAATGATATTGGCAGCAGTATATTCTCTATGTGATTCTGGGAACCATCTTTTTAGATGGATGACCGTTCAGGAAAAGGCCTAGTATAAGAGGATGTAAGGGAAAACTAAGAAGAAAAACAAAAGCAAGTACCTTGGGTGGATGAGAGGGACATGCTTGTTCTAAGGATTATCCTTTTTTATATTCACAGCTTGGAATCTGTATTCCTTCCAGAACCTCTTGGCTACACCCTGAGATTAGCAAAATGAAAATTGAGAAACAAAATACTTAAGGGCTGTATGTCCGATATGATGAGTTTGCCTGTGTGATCTCAGCACTTCCTTACTGGTCCATCATGACTAGTGCATAAATACTTGCTGAGATTCTGATCTCCAGCCCCTCTAAGAAGCCATACTGGGAGGGAAAATCTAGGGGCTGCTGCCAGAAACTGTACATGACCTGTTGTTCCATTCACTTATCTTCATGGAGAGCCATAAAACTATCAGCATTTTCCTGTGTATTGTTATGGTCAAAAATTGGAAAGAATTAGAACAATAAATTATCATTAATTTGCTTCATAATTTTTTCTAAGAAAATAAAGAGCTTTAAAGGAAATAATGTAAAATAATAAATAACCACATCAATATTTATCTCTAGTATCTAATCTCTATTAAGGGCTAAATATGTATTATGTTATTTGATGTTCTTACGAAGGCTGTTCAGAGATAAGTGGTGTTGGTATTTGTTTATTTGTTTTTGTTCTGGTTCTGGGGCTTGAACTCAGGGTCTGGACACTGTCCCTGAGCTTCATTCTTCAAGGCTAGTGTTCAACCACTTGAGTGATAGCTCCACTTCTGACCTTTTTCTTTTTTCTTTTGAGTAGCTAATTGAAAATAAAGATCTCACACACTTTCTTGCCCAGCCTGGCTTCAGACTGTGATCCTCAGATCTCAGCTTCCTGAGTAGCTAGGATTACAGGCATAAGCCACTGGTGCCTCGAGCTACACGGTATTTTTAATCATTATTATTTTTTAGCTGAACAAAGTATATTAAGTCTGGCCTGACATAGAGAGCTGTATTTGTTGGCTTGCTTGCTAGTTATATTAGCAAACCTAGAGTAAAACAGATGAAAGGTCTTATCCTGAATCAAGTAGTGTGATATGTACATTCAAATAGCAAATAGAAATCATTGGTCTGTAAATATGTGCGATAATTAAAAGAGCATAAAATTTCAACCTGAAAACCTTTCACTTTTATGTTTTAGGGAGACAATCTAATCACTGAGTGCCGCTACAACACAAAGGATAGAGTTGGGATGACTTGGGTAAGAACATTTTTCTCGTTATTAAAGTTCATTCATGGAGAGGAACTTTTAATTTTGAAGAAAAAGAGAAACAGTCATTTCATCATTACTTTTCAGTTTTAATTCATCTCAGAATTGGAAGGAACTCCATGATATTGGTGACTTTCATGATCTATGTACTAGAACTGGTAGGACACAAACTTTGCTGAATTAAATATCTCTATTTTCAGGGAGGACTCAGTACCAGGAATGAAATGTGTCTCTCCTACCTACTTTATTACCCAAGAATTAATCTTACCCGATGTGCCAGTATTCCAGACATCATGGAACAGCTGCAGTTCATTGGTGTAAAGGAGATCTACAGACCAGTAACGTAAGTGGTCAATGGATTTTGTAGTTGGGTTATACACTAAATTAGGGTGGCTTTTTTTCCCATGTTGATGTCATTATCAGGTAATGGGTTATGTTATATGCTGTTCTATTTCATTACTTGTCACTGGGGAGTAGTAGTAGACTAGTAGTAATAGTACTAGTATGCTTCTTGATTGCCATGTCTAGGGAACAACAGAGTATGTGCAAAATCAATGATTTACTATGAGGACCTAAAGGACTCAGTGTTTAGTTGTCCTTATAGCTAATAGTTATTACAAGGCAAGGATACAAAGCCCAGTGAACAAAGGTAAAATCACATGAAGTCCAGAGAAATTTCAGTAGAAGCTTTCGAGAGGCCTTCTTCAGGAGAGTCACACAAAATGCACTGAATCCCACCAGCTTAGAACTGTGGTTATATGAAATACAACTACTATTGATTCATTGAAACCCCACTGCTCATTTTTTAAGTCAGGGACATATGTGTTCTATGCTTAATATGTGCTAAAATTCTATACTCTGATAAGGAAAGCAGATGTTTAGAAAAAAAATGCACATTGACTGTACCAAACTCTCTAGACATACTGAGTCATTTCAAACATTTAGAGATCATTTTATATGAGTATAGGAAATCACTGACACCAGCCTGGGTTCAAGCTTGGAAGGAAGTCTTTCTTGGGATAGCAGCCTCAGACCTGCCATATAAACTCTGCACAAATGCACATCACAGAAACCACTTGGAATACAATGATACATTCGGTAAATATTCTTTTCCTTTTGAGATTATAATCTGGAGTTGGAGAGAGTATAGAATTTTAACTAGCAGCAGTTGTTATTGCAACAATCAAAACAATGAAGGAACTATATAGTTCTTTCCAGTTAGGCTTTTCTAGGCAGGAGATATTTGAGCAGACACCTATATGCTGAAGAGCCTGCAAAGCAAGATCCACAAATGCATGGTGATCATGGGTACGAACCCAGCATGCTTGAGGGGCAGTAAAGGAGTGCATTTGTCCAGAGGAGGTGGAAGTTCAGGAGAGAATAAGAGAGGAGGTGGAAGTATGCCAAGAGGGAGTAGACTATGGGAAACTAGGAGCAGTGCAAAGAGGACCCACCATATTGCATGACAAAAATCACTTCCCTACTGTGTTGAGAAAGGACTATGAGAGGGCAGCATAAGAAAGCATACTTCCAGCCAGGGAACTGCCAATTACCCAGGTGAGAGATGAGGGTGCCTTGGATCAAGATGATGGTACTAGAGTCAAGGAGAGGTGATTCTATCCAGTCACCATTTGGCTCCCACAGGATGCATTGAGTGTTTGCATCCCAAGGAGGCAGAGGGCAAAGAAAGAAAGTTCTATTAAGAAAAGAAGACAGGGGCTGGGAAGGTGGCTCAGTGGTAGAGTGCTTGCCTTGCATGCATGAGGCCCTGGGTTCGATTCCTCAACACCACATATGCAGAAAAAGCCGCAAGTGGTGCTGTGGCTCAAGTGGTAGAGCGCTAGCCTTGAGCTGAAGAGCTGAGGGACAGCGCTCAGGCCCCAGAGTTCAGGCCCCACAACCGGAAAAAAAATAAGAAAGAAAGAAAAGAAAAGAAGACAGAGAAAATTGTTTGGACAAATTCAAGTAAAAGCCAGTGGTTATAAACTGCCATGTGAATTGAAACCTCTTTGCATACTACTTAAAGTTAATTTTTTAAAGTTGATATTGAAAAAGATTTTACAAGTTCTTATAGATATCAATAAGAAGAACTAGAATGGCTGGTGGAAATGTTGATAGGGAATAGTTTATTTTAAGAAAGAAGTACTTGGGCTGGGAAGGTGGCTCAGTGGTAGAGCGCTTGCCTTGCATGCTTGAGGCCGTGGGTTCAATTCCTTAGCACCACATAAGCAAAAAGCAAAAAACCGGAAGTGGCGCTGTGGCTCAAGTGGTAGAGCGCTAGCCTTGAGCTGAAAAGCTGAGGGACAGTGCCCAGGCCCAGAGTTCAGCCCCCACGACTGGACCCCCCCTCCCAAAAAAAAGAAAGAAGTACTTTCTGATAATTAATGCTTTTCAAAATGTAAGGACTTGTGTAATTAGACAAAAATATGCACATATATTTTTGAGATTCTATTTTTTTTTTTTTCTGGTTGTGGGGCCTGACCTCTGGGCCTGGGCGCTGTCCCTCAGCTCTTTAGCTCAAGGCTAGTGCTCTACCACTTGAGCCACAGCACCACTTCTGGCTTTTTCTGCTTATATGGTGCTGAGGAATTGAACCCAGGGCCTCATGTATGCAAGGCAAGCACTCTACTACTGAACCACTTTCCCAGCCCCTTGAGATTCTATTTTTAAGAGTGAGGTAAAAACATAGAGGATATGATAAAATGTAGATAGTCAAGTAAGTTATAAATAGGACTTAATTTTGTGAGATTATAAATTGTGAACTAAAAACATTCTTTTTATATAAGTTAATTATACATAGATATATTTTACGTGGTTCATTTCTAAACAACCTAATAAACAGGAGAACAGAAGTCTACTTAGTAAAATACAAACAACAAAATACTTGGTAAATTGTGTTGTAGTACTATGAATCTTCCCATGAGTGATTTTATTTAATCTGTTTTTACACAACACAATGGTCTGTCAGGACACACTCCCACTTTTATAGAAAAGAAAACAGCAGCTAAAGAACTAATTCAATATGGCACAGTATATAATAAATGAGACAGTTAGGAGTATCTTCCTCTTCCTCCTGTGGAAGAAGTTTCTGATAATTAGGACTGCAAAATGAAAGGAACTGATGTAATTAGATCAAAATATTCATGTCTAATAAACCATTCACAGAAATCAAAACAGCACATAAAATGGCATTTACAAATAATCTTGTTTTGAAAATACTTTGGTAAGTATGACCTTGTATTGAAAATACATTGGGGATTTCTTCTTTGTTCGTTTTGTTTTGATTGGTGCTCTACTGCTGGGGATCAAACCCAGGGCCTGGCACATGTAGTCAAGTGCTACACCACAGAGCTCTACCCCAGCCCTCAACACCCATCTGCTATTGTTCTTACTTAGGCCAAATTAGCTTTTCTTCCTTTAGAATATGCTTTGTATATTGAATAGGACATTTTCCTCTTCATGGATTGATTGGAGAGAACAGTACAAACAAATGGACATCCAAAGCTGTATGTTTACAAGATGAAAGAAATGTATTCCCCATCCTCAGACGTTGCGTCCCATTAAACGAACCATTGAGCTTTTCCAAATTCTACAAACGGAGGTTATTTGTGCTATGCAGTCTTAATAAACACTAGTATATTGGCTTATTTCATCATGGTATATGGTTACGGTGTTCAGTCTTAACAGCTAGGTAAGAAAAGTTCAGGTTCATTCTTAAGTACCTCAGTAGAAATCATTCGCCACCTTGTGGTATATTAGGTGTCTGCAGATGGAGAATTGTCCTCCTCTCCCTTGATAATGTCCTGTTTTGTTTTATATTGTTTCATTTTATTTTACAGGCTTTTCAAAATAGTCATCTTATCTTTTGGAAAAGGAAATTTTATTTTACTATTTTAAGTGACTTGTATTTCATAAAATTTAGCAGGTATTTGAAAGTACCATTGCATGCATATTCACCTGGCTTCTTTCAAGTCAATTTCTTGTTCTATACTAATTTCAGATACTATCGCTGTATTTCACCATAATTTAATTAGAAAATGCTGTAGATTTTAGGCAATTGCTACATGTTTCATATAATGTGAATGTGATAGCTCTTAATTTATTATCTAACTTTAAGATCTCTGTAAAATAATGCACTTAAAACTCAACAAAGGTATATTGACCTTAAGCAAAGAACTGAAGAATATCGAGATCTTTGCACTTTGTGCACTTCCTTTCTCATTTTGTCCCTTGTTAAGAATATAGAACTACTTTTCAGTTCTTACATTAAATTTCATTTGTATAACTCAAAACACTTATTGAAAAAGAGAATATACAGTTTCCTTGAGAATCTTTATGCATGCAAGAGAGAAAATAAAGACAAAAATAACAAATTGTGACAATGAAATATTTAAAATGAAGATTCCTCAGCTTGAGGTAAATTATTTGATAAGTACTGGAAATCACCGGAACATCATTTTAGGCACCCCATGTTAATCTCCTGTGACATCGATTAATTAATTTGTCTTCATTTTTTAATGTGTCAATAAAGTGTGTTTCTTTTTCCTGAAGTCAATGGCATAAAACAGTTAATGAACAATAGTATTGGAAGACTATTATTTCAAGCAACATATATCTTCTTCTGTCTTTCTTGGACATTTAACGTGCTTTTTTTAAGAGGGGCAAGTGAAAGTAAAGTATGTTGGGCACAATTTTTTTCAAGCAATTGATTCAAATGGAAATATTTTATGTTTATCTTTTCACATAAGTGAGCAAAACAGGACCACCAGTAGGGGTCAGGCTTTTCCACAGAATGCTTTGAATGAACATCAGTTAGCATTCGCTTTCAAGAATCTGCAGGCTTCCTAATTCCATCTTTTGCCTTTACTCTTCAGAAATGAATACTTACCAGGTGAATTGTTAAACTGGGACTGAGAGACTCAGTTTTTTTTGAGGCAAAATTATTTGTCTGAAAGTAATACACTTGTTATTATAACAAGAAATACCATTCTTTAAAAAGTCTCATTTAATCTAGCATCCAGTAATGAGTTCGTAAATGCTTTAGAAGGAATTATCTGTGAGTGTAACAATGAATAAGTACAAAGTATATTCTATTATGTCAAAAATTTAAAAAAATATGTGTAATGGTTTTCTGAATGGAATTGTGATTATTTAATTTCAGCACATGGCCTTTTATTATCAAAAGCCCCAAGCAGTACAAAAATCTTTCTTTCATGGATGCGATGAATAAATTCAAATGGACTAAAAAGGAAGGCAACTCATTCAATAAGTTGGTCCTTAGTCTGCCAGTGAACGTGAGATGCTCCAAGACAGACAACGCAGAGTGGTCGGTAAGTCTCACTTTGATTCCGCCTCTGAGAACTGAGAACTTTACTGCCATATCTTGTCTGGAACAAAATAGAAGATTCAGACATATCTATACATCTAAAGCCCCTCTCCACTGCCTTTTTCTTTTTCTTTTCTTTTTTTTTTTCGTTGCCAGTCCTGGAACTTGAACTCAGGGCCTGGGCATTGTCCCTGCTCCTCTCTGTGTTCATGCTCTTCCACTTTAGCCACAGCACCACTTGCAGCTTTTTCTGAGTAGTTTATTGGAGATAAGAGTCTCGCAGACTTTCCTTCCTGGGCTGGCTTCAAGCCATGATCCTCAGATTTCAGCCTCCTGAGTAGCTAGGATTAGAGGTGTGAGCCACCAGTGCCTGGCTGGTTCTTTTATATGTATAATAATTTATTTATTCAGTAATTGCTTGAAATGATTGAAAACTGATTCCTGAGAGCTCCCTTTGAAGGAGGAACTTTTTCTGAAAGTAAAGTGGGTACCAGAAGGGAAAAGAGCTTTGAAAAGCATCAGACTCAGTCACTAGTAGCTCACACCTGTAATCCTAGCTATTCAGGAGGCTGAGATCTGAGCAAGGATTATGATTCAAGCCACCCCATGAAGACATGTTCATGAGACTTTTATTTCCAATGAAAGAGTGAAAAGCCAGAAGTGAAAGTATGGCTCAAGTGGTAAAGCACCAGCCTTGAGGGGAAGAAAAAGGCCGGGCAAGAGCCTAAGGCCCCAAATCCAGCCCTAGCGCCTTTACAAAAACAAAACAAACCAAGCCCCAACAAACAAAACTCATCAGTCTCTTCTCTGTGGCTCTTTTCCCCAGTAATGTTTTCCCCTCTTTTCTGCCTCCTTCCTAATCCCTCAGGGTCTGACTTCCTGGAGTGTTTGGCTTCTGCAGCAGCCCACGACCAGTTTGATCCCTGTAGAAATATCTGTAGTGAGCAAGATTGCCCACGGTCCCAATCTTCAGTCACGTGTCCATGCACTGTCTGTTCTTTCCTTTGCAGATTCAAGGGATGACAGCCTTACCACCAGATATCGAAAGACCGTATAAAGCAGAGCCTCTGGTGTGCGAAACCTCTTCGTCTCCTTCTCTTCACAGAAACATCTCTTTCCAGGTGCTCCTAGGCTTCCTGCTGCTCGGAAGCACACTGAACACCAAGTGCTGGTGATTGTACTCGATTTCAACGTGGCGATCACAGCGTGTGAGCACTGAGTCTGCCTCTCAAATGCAGGTGAAGACAGTCCACTCTGGGCATGAAGAGCTGGTCCTGGAGACCCTGGAGGGGATACGCGTCTATATTCCCTTCCTTCCCTGCCCTGCCTCACCAGGCTCCCTAAGGACTGTCACTGGGATTCTCTGCTTTTCCTCAGACATACCTAAGGTTCTGAGCAGGTGTGTAATAAAATGATCGCTCGTAAAAATTGGGCCATCAAGTAGGAAGAAATTTTAATTCCTTTTATATGCCTTTTCACTGACAATTTTACTCTTCACTTGATGGCTGTGTTTTGAGATATGATTTTACCTTAATACCATACAAGGAACTCCACTCCACTCCAGTGTTCTTAATTATTTGTCAGTGTAACTTTCTAAGTGTAACAAGTGTGCCTGCTTGTCTTCTCTGGGTTTTCCCGTGGACCTTCTCACTTCAGCCTTTTGGTGTCTGCTCTACTCCTCTTGCTTTCTTAATTCCACTGGTACCTCCCCCCGCTAACCCAAGCCCACCTCAAAATACGTTCCTCCTCCTTCTCCACTGAGGATCCCCCCCCCCCCACCAATCACTAACTAAAAAGAAAAAGGATTTGAGAGGTGTAGAATAGGGAGTTGCTGATTGGTGTGAGAAGAACTCACAGCTGATTGCCAACCCTACACTGGCGCTGTGAAGGAGCCTCAATGAAATCCCAGTTCAAACGGATGCATGAGCAGGTGCAGCGGGTGAAAGGCAGGTCCCGCTCCACCAAGGACAGTGCTGTTTCACACCTGCTGCACGCTGGCCCAGCACGAGTCATAGTTGCTATTGCACATTTGTTTTCATACTAGTAATAATCATCTTTCCACATAGAAGTTCCACCAATTGAAAAATCTTGTCTCTCTTTTTGCTCTCTTTGTATAATCTAGCCCCAACTTGTTATATGTGTTAGCCTCCTTTCTTAAGCTGAATGTGCTTGGCTCATCGTAATAAACTAAGTGAAAGCTGAGGTTTGGGTCATGTATTCTATGCTTCTGGAGATCGTCAAGTGTTGTTGCCAATAAAATCAATTAAGGAAGTCAAATGTTCAGCTGGGAGCAGAGGCTCAAGCCTGTAATCCTAATAAGCCTGGACAAAACCCAACATAAAAGTATTCTAGTCTCTGCCTCAGTGCACCTGTTATTCCAGCTACCAGGGAAGCAATGACAGGTGTGGTGGTTCATGCCTGTCAACCACAAGGAAATCACAAGGAGGGAGATCTAAGTCCAGGCAGTCACAGGGCATAAAGGATATCCCATCTTAAAATAACCAGTGCAGTTGGGCACTGGTGGTTTATGCCTATAATCTTAGCTACTCAGAAGACTGAGATTTGAGGATCAAGGTTCGAAGCCAGCCCAGGCAGGAAAATGCATGAGACTCTTTATCTCCATTTAGCCAACAGAAAACCAGAAGTGGAGCTGTGGCTCAAAGTGGTAGAGCACTAGCCATGAGCAGAAAAGCTCAGAGACAGCACCAAGCCCTGAGTTCAAGCTCCATGACCAAAAAAACCCCCAACAAAAAAAAAAAAAAAAAGGGATTGGAGACATGGCTCAACTGGTAAAGTGCTTGCTTAGAAAAAAATTACAAAAAAGTGCTTATAGTAAATGATAAAAAATAATAAGGAAGTTATAGTCTATTCACCTTAAAACCTTTCTACCCCACAAGATCTTCAACATAAACATTTTGCCTGTTAAATATTATGTATGTTTTCTTCTTGATATTTAGAACTTATTTGTCCATTTTTGGAATTGTTCTACATATTTATAAGATGTATCTTATAACTAACTTTACTTCTTTTATTGTATTAAAGCTGTTTCAGAGTCTGTGGGGTTTTTTTGGTCCATTCAAATATTTGGGTGAGATATTCGATCACTCTCAATAGCCTGTTTAAAATTTCATGGTTATTTTTGTTTTAAAATATCTGAACCTGAAGCGTCAAGCCCAGATGATTCCAATTTGAAATGAAGTAATATAATATTCTATCCATTTCCATTGCTTTTGGCAAGGAAGGTGAACACATCAGCTACAAAAGAGTTAAGCACTTTGTAAACTTACATTTGTAGACCCAGCCAAAAAAATCCTTTCCATTGAAGTTACTCCGAAGAAAGTTGACATTGTTTTATTCTAGGAATTCTCATGAATCTTTATGATTTTGAGGAACTGACTCTTTCATTGAAATAGGGATAGGCTATTGAGAATTCTGTGGAAATCGGATCATATTCTAAGTTGTTTGTTCTTATACTGAGTAGGCCTGCCTGCACATCCTGGGGTTCTTACTGATCCTTTGATCATAGTGACTCCATGCTGCCGACTTGCATCAAGTCAATGTCATTTGCTTTCTGCAATTATTCCATAAGACTGCCTGAGACCTGAGAGAGCATTGAGCCCCATCCTTAGCTCGGTACTGAGAGGCAAGGAGCATGAGGTAGACATTGTATTAACAGTCATTAAGATTTGAGGGCACCTTGGGTGATCATTTTTTTCTAAAAGGGGCTCCAGCAGGGCTAAAGGGCCCTAGAAGCAGTGTAGTCAACAGGGAAGACATTTTAAGAGCGTTGATCTTTGTCCAAATGGCTGTAGGGACAACCAAAAGGACATTTGCTAACAGAATATAATTGCACTACACTATTTACCCAGTCAAACACTTATTACTGAGCACGAAGGCTTTTCTTTTCTTTACTATATGTCTCACTCGTTAATATTCTTAAGATGGAAACTTTATCTTCATCATTTTTTGGAGTTTTTTAAAATAAGTTTTTTATTGTGAAAATACTGTACAGAGGGGTTACAGTTACATGAGCAAGGTAATGAGTACATTTCTTGCCAAGCATTGTTGCCTCCTCCTTTGTTTTTCCCCTACCATCCCTTTTCTCTCCCTTCCACAACTACTTTCCCTCCGGCCCACTCCCCCGCCCCCACTAAATTGTAAAATTCATTGTTCAACAATGTCTTGTACATCTCATTGTTACAATGGGTCAACCTGTATCCTTATTTCAGCATTTTGTTTTTTCCCTTCCCTTCCCCAAATTATACCAACATCAAATACAGTGAAAACAGGGGTTATACCATAGGGGAGGAACATACAAAGCAACAAAAAAAATCACATGGTACCTTATAAATACATTAGAAACAATAGCAAGAAAGAAAAAACGACTTGTGTCCTATCTTGGAGTTCATTTCGCTTAACATCATCTTATATGCTCATATGTACATAGCTTTTGACCTTTTCTGCTTGTCCCAGACATATACTATTTATTGCAAATAAGGGAAAACAGAGGACCTATGCTTCTTTGGGCCTGGCTTACTTCATTTAACATAATTTTTTCCAAGTCTTTCCATTTCCTAACAAATGGGGCAATGTCATCCTTTCTGATGGAGGCATAGAATTCCATTGTGTATGTATACCACATTTTCTTGATCCATTCATCTACTGAGGGGCATCTGGGTTGGTTCCATATCTTAGCTATGGTAAATAATGCTGCAATAAACACAGTTGTGCTGGTAGCTTTAGTATGGTCTTGTTTGTGATCATTTAGGTAAATGCCCAAAAGTGGGATTGCTGGGTCATAGGGGAGATCTATGTTGAGTCTTTGAGGAGCCTCCATACTACTCTCCAAAGTGGTTTACACTCCCACCAACAATGCAGTAGGGTTCCCTTTTGGCCACATTCCCTCCAGCATCTGTTGTTATTAGAGTTCTTGATTATAGCCATTCTATGTAGGGTGAGGTGCAATCTCAATGCTGTTTTGGTTTGCATTTCTTTTATGGCTAGGGAGGTTGAGCATTTCTTCATGTGTCTATTGGCCATTTTTATTTCCTCTTCAGAGACGTTTCTCTTTAAGTCTTTAGCCTACTTATTTATTGGGCAGTTGTTTCTTTGAGGATTTGTTGTTGAGGGATTTAATTTTTTGAGACCCTTGTCCGTTGTATGGATAGTGAAGATCTTCTCCCAATCCGTGGGCTTTCTATTGATCTTGCTAGCTATGTCCTTTGACATGCAGAAGCTCTGCAATTTCATGCAATCCCATTTGTCCAACCTTTCTTTGATTTGTTGTGTTTCTGTGTCTGTATTAAGAAAATTTCAGCCTGTGCCAAGGAGACCTAGGGTTTCTCCTATTCCGGCCTGTAATGTTTTCAGAGTGTCTGCTTTGACTTCGAGGTCTTTGATCCATTTGGAGTTGATTCTGGTGCAGGGTGATATATAAGGATCTATCTTTAGTTTTCTACAAGTGATTAACCAATTTTGCCAGCACCATTTACTGAAGAAGTTGTCTTTCTTCCCTTCTATTTTTTTAGCTCCCTTGTGGAAGATTAGATGGCTATATGTCTGTGAGTTCAATTGTATTCCATTGGTCTTGAGGTCTGTTCTTGTGCCAGTACCAAGCTGTTTTGATTACTATGGCTCTGTAATAGAGTTTGAAATTTGACATTGATATTCCTCCAGCACTGTTCTTTCTGTTAAGGATCATTTTTACTATTTGGGGGTCTTTTATTGTTTCATATGAATTTTTGGATTGCCTCTTCTATTTCCTTGAAGAATGAGGTTGGAATATTGATAGGTATCACATTGAATTTGTAGATAGCCTTGGGAAGTATTGCCATTTTCACGATGTTGATCCTTCCAATCTGGAGCATGGGAGGTTTTTCTACTTTCTAGGTTCTGCTTTGATTTCCTTTTTCAGGTTTTTAAAGTTTTCACCATAGAGGCCCTTTACTTCTTTGGTTAACTTAATTCCTAGGTATTTTATTTTTTGTGAGGCTATTACAAAAGGAGTTGCTTTCCTGATTTCAGCTAGGCTCTTCTCATTGTTGGCATACAGAAAAGCCTTACCTCAGCATTTCTTTACAAGTTGTAAATCATGTATGGTTACAAGAATTATGATGAAGCCAGGCACTGGTGCCTCACGCCTGTAATCCTAGCTACTCAGGAGGCTGAGATCTGAGGATCATGGTTCAAAGCCAGCCCAGGCAGGAAAGCCCATGAGATTCTTATCTCCAATAAACCACTCAGAAAACCAAAAGTGGTGCTGTGGCTCAAGTGGTAGAGCGCTCGCCTTGAGCTGAAGAGCTGAGGGACAGTGCCCAGATCCAGAGTTCAAGCCCTATGAACAAACAAACAAAAAAAAAGAATTATGATGAACGCTGATATTTGTCCCCCATTTAAGAGT